CGAGACATACCTGGCTTATCAGGATCTCAAGATCCTGGCGAGAAGACCTGCCGACCTGGACTATATCTATTATTCGCTTGCGACCGGTGGACCTCGTTGGGGAGACGAGAGGGTTCAGCTTATAGAGCTGATCCGCTCGATAGACGACGAGTGGCCCCAGTCTTCGTGCGTTTGGGATTGGCTAGACCGTGAGCTCCGAGCAGGCCCCGAGTACGTGACTTGCATCGGGCGGCTCTTCTCAGACGACTGGGGGAGCTGGTGGAGTGAGGACGCCGGGCGACCTCTGATATACGGCCATCAGCTGACGGAAACCAGGCCATAGGACAGGCGCCATACCGCGTCGAGGACGAGTTTGACAACGAGGATTGGGAGCAAGAAGACGACGAGGAGCTGTGGGAGCCAGACTGGGTCGACCCCGATAGTGAGGTTGCCGAGGAGGAGATTGACGTTATAGACGCCCATTTTCCCAGGATAGGAGTAGCGGTTCGGCGTAGGAGGTAAAGGAGCGCATCACGGCGATGGTTGAGTGTGCCTGGTTACTGAACCTATTCGACCAACTGGACCTGAGTGCGAGAGTTGTCAGAAGGGTTAGCAATGTCGAGAGATGGGGTGTATCGGTGGGAGTAGAGTGATGCTGACCGAGAGAAGGAGAAGAAATGAGGAGTGATTCAGCGGCCTGGTTAGCTTATGTTCTCTCACGAGAGTCCGAATCGTATAGTGTGAGGAAGCTTGTGGCACCCAGAGAGACGGCGATTGGATATGACATACCACTTCCTGTGGCGTTAGAAGACGCAGGGCGAGTACCGATACGATACTTGGGAACGTGGCTCGCAGAGGGGCTCTTCCTATGGACAGTGATACTACGAGACGAACGACCCGAGAGGACTCATGACCTAGAAGGGGTCGGACATCTAATAGCGGATAAAACACACGATTTAGAGTTGGGCCTAACGCTCGCAGGGGCGAGCAGGAGTTGGTAAGGGAGCGAGTTGTTGGCCAGAGTGATCGTTAATCAGCAATTGGCGAGACTCGCTGGAGGGAGGACTAGTAGGAGCTGCTTGGTATACGGTCCACCACCTCCGACCCTCTACCCGAGAAAGGATTGGCGGTTCGGGGTTCCTACCTTCGTGATAGGGCAGACCTATGGGAGCATGGATCGTTTGAGGATAGCAGTGGATCACACACTTTACGCGCTCTGGGAGGGCTTAGCGCCCCGCTTCAAGGAAGTATACTACGCCATTTGTGTGAGGTGGGGGCCGCCCAGTAGAGAGACACTTGACGACATCATAGATGTTACGAGCTGGGTGGACTGTCTGAGACCTATCGATCTGATTAGGTACTGCAGAAGACGGGCAGAGATCGATTACGTGGGATTACAGGACGCGAGATTTCTCTTCGAGGTCGCCGCTTAGGGGATGCCGGGAAGGACGGCCACGGTGATGCGTGTAGAAGAGCAACTGGTGAGCACGGGATACACTGTGACAGTACTTGTCCGAGCGTACTTAGACGAGGACTTGACGGCGAGCGAGTGCAGACAACGAGCTAGGGATTTGATCCACGAGCGTAGAGCTGATGTACTGGCGCGAGTGACCTTCCAGACCTCGATCTCTTATGATGTGATGATATGGTCTTGTGGTTATATGCGCGCGGAGCACTACCACGATGAGACGGTAGAGGAGGCTAGAGCGAGGGTGAGAGGATGAGCGGGA